AGCTGGATGCAGTTTGTTGACAGATATGGTACTTCTAGTCTACATTTGGAACATAAGTGTGATTTGCACAAGAAATAAAAGTAATAGTTCCCTGTATAAAAAAGCCCACCCAATTTACAGGTATTGCCATGACCAAAACCACAGTTAGATTGTTATTGAGGAAGTAATATTATGACTGTCTCTAGAAGGTGTGGTGAAGCTTCCACTTTGGGCAAGCCTTTCTGCCACCTTTGATTACAAATGACCCTCACATACTGACCACCCTTACTGCTCCTTCTCTCCAAAAATTCCCAACAATCAAACCTCAGCAAAGAAGTAGCCTGCTCAAACAGCATTTTAAAACAGTGCCTGAAGGTTTCACTAACCCTGTTGAACTTATATGGATGGTGCCCTGGTGTTTGAGGGAGACCACATGCTGTGTGCAAGTGCCCCAGGGCAGACCAGAGGTGCATAGTCTTGTGTTACATATCTATCTAGATGACGTTTGTATGTCAAAGCTGCCATGACTTCTGCAAATCAGTATATTATTCTCTTTGAAAGTGCATTTGGCTGTCATCATGACGTACATACTGATCAAGATTTCAAAGTCACCAGAGGTCTCACAATTCCCACTAATTATGAATGGGATGAGTCTGAATGCACATTGAAAAAACTGAACTATTGTCCTTATTTTTTGGACTTTTGCACATAATTTTCCCTGAAGGTAATATGGACTTGTGAAATGCTCAGCTTTCACAAAAACCAGGGTCTGAACAACCTGGTAAAATGAGAGTCTGTAGTGGAACGGGGTGGGGTGGGGGGAAGGGGGACTGGAGAAAGGAATGTGGGAGAGGAGCAGGGCTGCTATGCTGGGGCGTATACTGTGATGCATGCACTTGCTTGGGGCTTGATTTAAAAAGAAATCTGGTTCCAAAGAAAACAATGAGATTTTTATGTTTTGACTGACTGAAGCCTTGATGCTCTTCCACAGCATGAGAGCAGCATCTTTCCTTAGAAAGACATCAGCAGTCCCAAGTGGCTATTTGTGCTTTTGTAGTGAGAGAGAAAATGGTAAGTGAGAGAAAGAGAAAATGAAATGCCTCTGACAAGAAAACAATGTGCCAGAAGCAACTCCTTTAAATACAGAAAAACAAGAGGACAGAACTCCATCCATTCTCCATCTTTTTTGTATTTATTGCTTTTTGGGGGGTTTATTCTTACCATCTAATATTTTACCTTGTGGTTTTTTTTTTTTCCTCTTGAAATATTGTGCTTTACAGTAAGAAATCATAGAATTGTAGAGGTTAGAGATGCGAGAAGCCTGTTAGATCATCTGCTCCACCAATCTTTGCCAGCAGAGAACTGCTCCCCTGTGGTATATTTTCTAGTGTTTTGTCCAGCCTTGTTGTAAAAATCATGAGTGACCAGCCTTCTACCAGATCCCCCAGCAGCTTTTCTGCAGCTGGATATATCTTGAAAGATTTTCCTTCTAGTCTGCCTGTGGTTTCATATTGCTAATTTCACCCCATTTGGCACTTCTGTATCTATGTAGCAGTCTGAATTGTTACCTTCCATTTGGCATTCACGTTTTCTGACTCTATGCCTGCTTAGCATGGAGTCACAGAAAAACAGGGCTGAAAGGACCTTTGCTGTTGCTACACACAGGTCTTTTAAATCTGCTTTGCAAGACTGTCGAGATTCCTGATGTTTTTTATTTTTTTCACACCCTCCTCGGTCCCATTTGTCCATGCGCAGCAACTCCCCCAACTGAATGTATTATTCCAGATACATTTGCATCAAAATGATGCAGAAAATAGATCTCTATTGCCTTTGAATCAAAATCAAGGGAGGGAACTACACCCTGAAATTGCATCAGCATTTTTGCAGCCAAACTGCAATATGCACTTATGTTCAATTGGCCACCCACTCTCATTGTAAAGTGTTTCAGTATTCCTGCTAGCAGTTTGCCATTGACTACAAGTGTTTTGGAGGATTTTGCCTCAGGTATGTTTTCATGCTTACAAGTGGAAATTCATCTTGTAATATTTTCTCTTGTAACGTCCTCGGACTCAGTAGATCACTCATGTTATTTCCGTGTCCTGAGTTACCTTTCAGTTCGTCCCAAGCCAGGGTCACCTGTGAGAGCCCTTTGTGTGCAGCTAATATTCCCTATAGATTATTAATAAGGACCCTAAATCACAATGTTTCTAAGAATTTTTTTTTTTACTAGGTAGCTCTGTTGTGTTGCCTAGTGCTTTCTCCCTTCCCTATGCATCTTCTATCCAGTTCAGATTCTCCTTTCCCATAGGACCATGATGTTGCCCTTTGCACCTATTTTTTATTTTCCTAATTATGTTTTTTTTTCTGAGGATTTTTTTGGTCGTCTTTCATGTTTTCTGGGCATATTATTTATAGCTGTATTTTAGTAAGATAGAATTAAAAACAGTGTTCTGGATCACTGAATCTAGATCTCTATTATTTCAGAGAGCTATGCCATGAAATTCCTTTAAAATATTAATTGTGTTCCAGTTTGATGAAGCTGTAAAATCAATTAAGTTTTCTGCTAAAAATCCTGCTTCAGATTTCCGTACTAAATTTGCTCATGACCAGTTTTTATCACTTGTCCAGGTGCCAACTATAGCTATGGTTAACTGAGTCCACACAGCTCTTTCTTCTCTGTCATTTCCAATTAGCAAACTTCAATTCACAGCTGTTTTTTTAAGTGCATAAACTCACATTGTGTGCTATCACACCTCTCCCTGTTTCTGTTCACCTAGCTTGTGAGTTAACACAGCCCTTCAGTTAACCCACTCTTTTGGAAAGCTGAACCTGATCCTCATTCCCAGGGTGATGTGTCCCAGCTTCTCAGATCGTTGCAGAAATATATTTTTAGCAACTTAAAATGAATCTTCTAAAAGTTTTTGTGGAGAATTTTGAAGCATAAGGGTTTCATGCCTAACCATGGTGATCATTTACATGAAGACCTTGAAAATTTACATTAATCAGAATTTCTTTTCTTTGCACAGCTTCAATCTTAACACAAAAATGCAGTCCTGGGTCCCTTTCCTAGTGAAAACTTGAAGATCTAGACAATAATATTGAAGATTTTTCTGCCTGTCTGTCTAGGCAGATGCAGTTTTCTAGGATTTGTATAGATTGTGCATTCACACACCCCATCCTGCAGGTGGTTCTCTGCAGAGTGGAATGTTATTTTTCCTAAGACGAGCTGTCAACATATTTATTTGTAATAGACTCAATAACAAGCACAGAAAGAAGAATGAGTAAAACTTGTCTGATGTCAGGAATACGTGTCGTACAGACTAATTCCAGGCTGTGATTTCAACTCCCTCTTTTGCAAGAAGGTTGCTTTTTTTTTCATTTCCACCTATAGCTTACCAATTCATGTATCAGACTCTAGAAATCAAAGGTTTTAATTCCCAGTCCCCAATTGTTTCTGTGGGGAAAACTATTTGCTGAAAGCCTTGATGATGGAAAGAAATATAAAGAACAGCTGTTATAAGAGGGTTTTCAAATGTGTTTGAGCCACATAACAAAACTAATAAGATTTCAAAACAGAAAGCAGATATAATGAGACTTAAGTAGCCAATTCTTTGAGTTCCCTGTTCCCTGTTCTTTGCCCGGAAAACAAGAAAGAAATGTTAAGTACATAAAACACATAGCTCTCTTTTAAACAAAAGCTGCAAAGAAAAGCTTTTGAAGTGTCTTTATTCCCTGTTCTCTTCTCTTTCACTCTTTTTGCCTCTCTTGTACATGCTCTCTTGCGTCACAAAAAAAAAAAAAAAAAAGAGCTTCTGATCCCTTCATCTTTTATGCTATTTCACCTTGACCTCAAGTTACAATGGACTAATTTGATCATTCTCATTTAACATTAAAACCCTGGTGTTATTGTTACTAAATGGGTTTTTTAGAGAACAGATTCTTCTCTCTGAATGTCGGGGTGTCTACTCTTACCAACCACTGTGTGCCCACCAGGACAGCCATGAGCTGGGGGTGTCATGTTGTCTCACCATTCTCCTCCGGGGAGGTCAGTGCCCAGAGCTGTGGTTAACGGCAAACCAAGGTAAATTCCATCATCATGCTTTGCTTCTGTTTCCCCTTCTGCCCTTTCACTTCCTTATGCTGCAGCCCCACTGTAGCAGGAAGCATCTTGTGTGGTTTGTTTGGGTTTTGCCTGGCCTGGTGGGCTCTGAGCTCAGCTGGGCTCATGGACGTCTAACTGACCAGATGTTCCTAGCTCCTCAAATCCTTTTTTTATCTCTTGAAAGCTGAGGGGGAAAAAAAAGGGAAAAGAACTGGCTGAAATCTGAGCTTTGACTTTTCTTCCCTCCTCCCTGCTGGATAGATATCCCCCTTGGACAGAAGCAGGATCTGAGTAATGGGGACCATAGTTCAGATGATTTGTAAATGTCTTGCAGTAACAAGTTTGACTTACATCTCAAATTCCTCTTGTTCTCTCCCTTACCCAGCTGCTCTGTGCCTGCAGACTAGCACAGCCTCCTAAGCTTGTCTTGCAGCACCAAAAACAGCCCATGCAGATAAGGTCTTCAACACTTACCCGACTCAGGTCACTGCACAAAGGCATGCCAGCCTGCCAGGCTCATTTGTTATTTTGGAAATGACCTGCCACAGCTTCTGCACCACTAATTGGCCACGATCCATTTTCTGTTATACGTATTCATCTCCTACTTCTGCTGCCTGGTCCAAGAGATGCCAAGTGCATCATTTAGTGCACAGTACTTCAGGCTTGGACTTACTGGGTAGAATATTAGACAGAGATTTTGGTTAGATTTGAGATCAGGATCTCTTTGTGATAATCCCTGCAATCGTTCTCCCCAAATCACCTTACTGCCTACAGTGACGACACTACTGGAGTGAAATGCAGGAAGGAAACATATACAACTCAAGGCAACAGAGTTCCATCAGAGATGGCTTTAGCCCAAGGACTTATGCAAAACATGTTTGTAATGTTCCAAATTTGTATTTTTTCTTTCTGTTTCAAGGAGGAAAAAGGCAACAGTTGATACTGCCGTGAAGCTGTAAGCCTGAAAGATGGAGGAATGGAAACTTCAATGTCTTTAACGATGCTAATTCAAGCTTGTGGACCTGTGAACCATTTTTGCAACCAAAAGCTTATGAAATGCATTGCAGTGGGCTGAGTAGTGTTAAGTCCAACATAAGAAATCCCTTCTAAAATCAATGAGATTTTTTTCTTATCAGGTTTTATAGGATTTGTTACTGCTTGAAGAACTACTTCACCCCTAAAGACCCTCACTAATGGGTTCCTCTTCTTTACCTGCTTCTCTCCTTTACTTCTGTAAGATCAGTGTGCTAGTTGGATGATGATATACTGTGTTATGACTGAGAGCTGTAAAGTAAGAGGCCGTGCATGTGCCTGAGCTTGGCTCACACAGCCCATGGCTCTACCAGCATCCCCATGCCCAGACCTGCTACTTCATGATTCACTTCTGGTGATAATACAGGCTTCCCAGAAAAAACTGCTGCCCCTAATTTTCAAGGAAATTCTGGGACTGACTTGAGCTTTACTCTCAGATAAAAGTAGAAACGCTCAAACATTTTGTTCTGTACTTGCTTCACCTGTCTAGTCAAAAAGAAATTACTACTGTGGTATCTGTATGGCTCTCTCAGAAGCCAAAATCCTTGTTAACTCACTCTATTGCTAAAATTAAGGTAGCAAAACTAACAAAAAACTTGTTATCCCCTCCAGGTCCATCATGTCTACAGTTTAGCAGGAGAAAGCAAAGGAACAAGAGAGTAGAAGATAACTTCAATGGGGAAAGCAACTAGCCTTTGCACAAGTGGCTTTTAGGCCTGAGCATATGAATTGGACATATTCATTTCCTCAAACTGTATATTTTCATGGCTCTTTCCTCGATGGCTTACATGTATGTGTTGGAATCAGTTCTGTCTTATCATCATTGCCATGGTTACCTTATCATTATTGTATGTATGTGTTGCTGTATTACTATTGCAGATATCCTACCAAAGTTCCCTAAAGCAAAATGATGCCAGAACTTACTCTGCACACATCCCAAACTACTAAGCATTTGTATCTTTTATGATTTCTTTCCCAGCTAAAACAAAGTTGGCTTGAACATCTCTGCTGAAATAAAGCTGTTTGCCCTTTCTGGGTAGAGAACAAATTACTCCATACATCATCTTTACCATAAGCCAATTCCTTACATCAAATGCAAAAACCTCCTCCTGCTTAACTGGACTCCTCAGCAGCCTGATTTGTCTTTACTTCCATTACTACATTGCTAAAAATCACAAGATAGTTGATGTCTGCAGCAGGGAAGACACGTCAGCCTCTGAAACGAGGCTGTCATGATACAGCAAACGCAGAGGTCATTATAGCAGGGTAGGGCACATCTCAAAGGCCAGGACAGAGAAAAGTTTGAATTTGGGATGAAAAATATCTTTGCTGGGGGCACGATGCCACAGGGCTACAAAGATTGTCAGAGATACGGAACATCTCTCCTATGACGACAGGTTGAGAGAGTTGTTCAGCCTGAAGAAGACTCTGGATAGACATTACTGCAGCTTTTGAATACTTAAAGGGAGCTTATAGGAAAGATGGCAAAAGACTTTTTGTAGAACCTGTAGCAATAGGACAAGGAGTAATGTTTTTAAACTAAAAGAGGGTAGATTCAGACTAGATGTAGGAAAGAAATATTTTATTATGAGGGTGGCGAAACACTGAAACAGGTTGCCCAGAGAGGTTGTGGATGCCCCATCCCTGGAAATGCTTAAGGATAGGTTGGACAGGTCTCTGAGCAACCTGATCTAGTTGAAGATGTCCCTCCCTTCTTATTACAGGGGGCGTGGACTAGATGACCTCTAAAGATCCCTTCTGACTCAAACTCTACTATGATTCTATGCAGTCTTTAAGAATAGAATTGGGAAAACCCAGATGTTAGCATCTGGTTTTAATCCAAACTCTGTATTAATTTCCAATGGCCAAATGAATGCAGAACTCTCATCCTAAAGAGTAACTCAGCTCAGCACTAACCACCAGATTTCTTGTGCTATTTATCCTTCTTATAACAACTGCTCCTTACTACGTACACAAGCAGAGGTTTTGAATATGTTGTGATAATGAATGCCATTATGAGGTTAGAGTACAGTGGCGTGAAGAAAGTGATTCATCACTGGGAAGAGACAAACAAAGAAATGTATTGGATGATACATTGCCTAGATGCACTATTCTAAGTTTATAAGAAAGAGGTTATGTATTGTTCCACAGATGTAATCTAGTATTACCAAACTAGAGAATACCAAATACATTTAGAATTTTTATAACAATTCCCATGATAAGAGGAATGAAATCTAAAATAAATACAAGTAAATAGCAGAACCTCTAAGTGGAAAGGATGTAGTAGTAGTAATTGTAGCAGTGAAACTCGCAGTTTGTCAGTAAGTGCAGCCAACTCACCATCTTTTTAAGTGGAAATGGAAACTGGGACACAAGGCCATTATGATACAGCAAATATTGAGGTCATCATACTTTTTAGCTAGAGGAAAATAAGGCAACACTTGCTTTGTCACATGTTCAAGTGACACATCACTACCCCAGACTGACAGTGACCCCATCACCCCACTATACCTGCAAAGTTATGGGCCATGGCAAGAATTACTATTACATGGTAAAATTTTCATAACTTTTTATAGATATTGCTCTATCCTCTGCTAACACCCAGGAGGTTTTGTCTGAGTGTCTGTTGCTTTGAGATGCCTCAAAGGTCCTGGTTTGCTGGGAAGGCCCAGCTGAATGCTTGCTAACCTGGGGACACCTTGACACTGGAAGCAAGTCATCATTTCAGGGAGGCGCAGAGGCAGTAGGGCTCCTGCTGCCAGCTGGGATCTCCTGGGCAAGCTGGGGCATCTCTGGGGATTGAGTGTGTGTGGATTTCTTCTAACAAAGACAATCTTCTAGCTCTAAAAAATGTAGATTCTTGGTGTCAGGCATTTGTCTTTCTTTACCATCCATCTGGGAAATGCAGATTGTGTTCATTATGCCAAACAACTTTCAAGGGTCCATGCCGTCTGGAAAACTGCATTGATGTTCAAGATAGGTTGTCCTGTCCCTATAGCAGAAACTGGATTCCCTAGCTGGTGAGATGCTTTCCTTTGACCAGGCTTTACTGCAGTGAGTTCAGAAAAAGGACAAAAAGATGATTCTCAAACTCACTCCAGTATGTCAACATATCTTGTGTACTGGGGACCCCAGACTTGGACCCAGAACTACAGGCATCTCACCAGGGCTGAGAAGAGAGGAAGAATCACCTCCTTCGACATGCTGGCAATGCTCTTAGTAATGCAGTCCAGGATACTGTTGGGGGTTTTTGCCACATGGGCACATTGCTGCCTCATGCTCAGCTTGGTGTCTAAGAGGACCTCCAGGTCCTTCCCAGCAAAGCATCTTTCCATCCAGTTGATCAGCTCTCCTCATATACTGGTGCCTGAGTTTGTTCATCCTCAGGGGCAGGACTCACTTTTCTGCTTGTGGAAATTCATAAGTTTCCTGTTAGCCCATTTTTCTAGCCTGTGCAGGTCCCTTGGAATGTCACCACACCTCTGGGATGTATTGTCCACTCTCCCTAGTTCCATATTGTCTGTGAAGCTATTGAGGGTGCACTGCTTCCTGTCATCTGGGTTTCTAATGAAGATGTTAACCAGTACTGGCCCCAGTACAGACCCATGGGATGCACCGCTAGTCAATTCTCTACATTTGGCCCCATTTTTTAGACAGTTTTCAGTCCACCTCATCAGCTTGATACTGTTTGTTAATCCCCACTAGTCCCAAGGAGCTACCTGATGGAGCCTGTGAGATGGGACTACTGTGCAGGTGCCTCTTCTTCTCCAGCCAGGTCCAGGCATTCATGAGATCGACTGGTGATTAACATGCAGCCTGTCCTGATTGTTTAGGAAAATACAGTTTGTAACCTAAATTGAAGAACTCTGGTGAATCCCACAACATAATAACTCAGTTAAATGCAAATTACTTCATCATTTGTGAAATTTCCAAGATGCATGTGCTCTTATAAACAACTTGAAATTAAAAATCCCTGGTTTTCCTTGAGTGCTATTGGGTTTTTCAATGCCTGCTGCTTTGCACCATCTGTGTATAGGGTTGCGTGTGATTACCCAGATCCTGCACACGTGAGGAAGCTTTATGAGCTCTGAGATCAGCTCCAGATGGTGGCTGGTTGCTCTCCTTTTCCCAACATCCATAGGATGCCTAGCTAGCAGGAAGTGGATGTGGCCCCCAGCAACACAAGACAGAAGAGAAGAAGCAGGTTGCTGAGCAGGGCTGGTGGAAGAGTTGGTCCTGATCCTCAGGTATGGTCTAGCAGATAGGCACGAAGATCCTACACAATCAAACCTTTTGAAGTCTATAGAAAAAGGTCAACTGCCCCATGCCTGAAAGTCACTCAAGGGGCTTTACTTATTACAGTTATTATTATGTTTGTTATGGTAAGATGTTATAGCATAGTTTTGTATGGTAATGAGTTCAGTTATTAAAAATTACCTTAAAACGCAAAGTGCTGAGCCTGGTTCTCATCTTTGCACCTTCTCCAATCAATAACATCAAGGAGACATGAGGCCATCTCAGAATGGCAATATGCAGCACCAGTAACAATGATGTGGAAATTAACCTGAAGTTCACAAACATTTGAGTGCATTGGTGCTTTTGCCTTAGAACTTGTTTTTTAATCAACTTCAGCTTCATAAAATTATTCATGGTAGTTATTTCAATTATCTCCACTTGGTCCTTCCAGGAGTACGTATTCCACAGAATGGAAGGGATGGAAATTTACCTAAAATGCTGCGTAGAATCTAGAATCATGGTTGTCCATTTGGAAAAAAAAAATTGCTCATTTCTGTTGAAAGATATAAAGAGAAAAATAATTTTGATGAGTCGGGTTTAATTTTAAAGAACAACTTTTTGAGTGGAAATAGATTTTGGATTAGCCAAGGTTGATGTTTCATGGTACCACTGTGCCTGTACCGCTGAGTCCTGCAGACACACACAGGTTTAATCCAAGGCTGCAGCTCCTCAAGAGGAGCAATGGTAGCAGCTCAGCATGGCATGCTGGAACTGTGGTCTGTGCAGATCTTACTTCCTCATTAAAAATTAAGGTAGCTCTATTTTGCTCCACCTTAAATAAATCAGTGACCCTGAATTTTCTGGCAAATCCCCAGATGTGGTCTTCTGTGGGAAAAATTTTGGGTCCTTCTTCTGTTCATTAAAAATAAAAGAGAAAAAAAATCGTATCACTGAGGATAATAGACTTTGTCAGCTCCAGTTGTAAGTTGCTTAGCTCAGCTGAGTAATGTCTGCCAAATGGCAAACTTGAAAGATCCTTTTTCCCCATCTCCTTTAAAAATCCTGTGCCACTTAAAAATCACAGGTAGAAAAAGATCATCTTGGCTCTCCACATTGGCCCCGTACCTTTACAGAATACTATATTATATTATTTTGACTGTTGCCTTTTCTAATATGGTCATATATATCCAGAGCTTTTGATTTGGACAAATGGTGGCCTTACTACACTATTGCCTAATTATCCTTAGTATCTTATCCTTGAATTTCCAGGTTTTGCTTTCACTTTTCTTATTTCCAGCAAAAGTTGTTCCTAAAACTGTAGATGAAATACAGGAGCTTCTGACAAAGAAGCATAATAGCCAGAGGGAGGGGGGAATGCATAGGGCAACTTCTGCCCTGCTTGGCTAAGCAGAACTTCCACTGACATCCTGAAACAGATGAGGTCCTGATAAAAACAGTCATGATTGACTGTTGTGCTATCTGGCTGCATTCTAGACTTGTAAATGAATTTGAAAACCGCCAGGAATCTAATCTTTTTCAGAGGAACAGCTAAGAGAGAAAGAATTATGTTATGCAGTTTTGAGGCTAACAGTGTACAGTAAATGAAATCCTGATCAAGCAAAGTGTCAGTGTAGGAGACATTTATATTACCCACTGTTGCCCACCTAAAAGCCTTAACTAGTACTTTACATTTCTGAGGGCGTTATGGAAGATGGGTGGGATGGAGTGGTCTGTGAAATATCCATTTCTGCCTGGTAGCAACAGAAGGAGTCCAGAAGAACTAGGTTAGAACTGGCACTTTTCAGTTTCAAAATCTGGGAGAAATTAATCCCAGCACCAATTTGACAAAAAAGAAACAAAGGATCATGATTGTTTGCTACTGGTGGAAACATCCAGGTTTTTGAAATGCTCCTAAATCAGTGCTTGACATCAGCAATATTTTGTGGCAATCATTTTCAGGAGCTGAACATGTAGGTGAGGAACAGGAGAATCCTGTACCAGCTTGATCAAGGTCTCCTCCCACACCCACATGTTACCCTAGATCTGTGAATGAGGCTGAACTTGGTGAATTCCACAGTGCTTTGTCTGCTCCACAGCTGTATTTTAGCCACCTTCCAGCTTGTTTCACTCCTTCTATATAAGGTACTGAGTTCCTGGTACCATGTGCCAAGTCTCCTTTTCTTCATATCAAGTCAAGGGGAGTTGGGGTAGGGGGCAGAATGCAAACAAACAGTCAGGGTCAGACACTTCTTCCTTTATCCTCTGAAGGCCTAATCCAGAGGTGATTGGCATCAGTGGAGAAGTTCAGGGCTAACTTCATCAGACCTTGATTCAAGAGTGATTCTGCTGAAGGACAGCGGAACAGTACATTTGTGTGGGATGCATATCTGT